TGTCTACATATAATGAGTGGTATAAGACCATTTTGCCGGCTTCTATGAAATATAGTGAAGAGCATAAGGTAACCCACATAATATATCTAACATTATAAGATGAATGTTACGCATGAGATAAACTGCTAGAAAGTTGCTTGAATATATGAAAGTTTAGTTTATATTAATTCGGCATTTGTTAACAACTAACCCCCAAAGTTTACACGTTAAAATGAGTCAAAGTGCGCCAACATTGAAACCCCACTACAGAAATGATGTACTCGGACCCCAGAAGTGGCTCCATATGTACGTAAATCCTTGTTCAAAAATATTATGGCACATTTCCCGACATTAGGGGGAGCTATAAAGGCATAAGCATAATTATATTTTGGAATGTCGGAAAAATATCCCAGAAGGATCAATTGATATTAAAACAGAAACATGTAAAATATGATAAGTAAACTGCCAAAGTGACTGAAAGAAATGATTATAAAGATTGAGTTCAACCAATGCATGAAGCATGGTTAGACGGTCATTACGTGTATACAAATAATTTTTTTTTTTATTTTTAGGAAGTCACTTATGCCTCTACAAGAGGATGATATAAGTTAAATGTTGCAGCTGATAAGTTATAGAAACTTTATGATACAGAACATGAGTTCCTCTTTTATGACTCATATATAGGACTTTTGATGAAACAGGAATGATAATGATTAGATTGACGTCAATGATTTATTTCCCATAACTATCGACTCATAATCCATAATAATAAAGTCTGGCCAGACGAAATATGATGGACCTGTAGTCCTAAAATTTTGTGAATTATGAACGATGTTTATGGATGAGAAAATAATTTATATTGGGCCTGAAGTCCCATAAATCAAGATATTGTCTACGTGGGGTGACAATACTTGAGATTGAATGATTTTGAGACCGCACTCCTGTTATAGTTTAAAGTTCTGTAAATGTGGCAGTTGATAATAAAATTGGATGTCATTGTTATAATATAATATCAATTGTGTCCCTGAAGGACAATAGTGAAAATAAATATGTGCACACAACATGCAACATGAATATGAATTCTTTTATGTTTATAATAATTAGATAAGGTGATTGTGTATTAAGTTATGTTAATTATATTTGGAATCATTCTTGAAATAGAATTTGAATTTGATTGAATAACTGCAACAATAAATAATGCAGTAAATACTAAGCATAGTTGAAAAACATATAAAATGGACACTTGTGCCTAACTACAACCTGAGTGGCTACAGTAAGTCTTGATGAAATGATTTATTTTGTAGAAGAACTGTGCTTGAATATCATGGTGCAAATTATATTATGTAATATCCTGATTGAACAAGGTTTTTGCATCATGTCAAAATATCACTTGTAGTGAGTGTCTCCTGAAGAGGATCTAATGTGAACATTTTTCTTATTTGTTTTCACATGATTTAATGACTAGGATTTTAAATATAAAGTGAGCTATATTCGTACTACTTCTCAACCTTTCCTGTAGAAAGAGTTGAATGAATAAAACATTATGCAATGAATTTGCAATTGCTCATAAACCTTCTATTTGTTTACCTAAAGTAAACATACGTAGTATATTATTTTATGAACCAAATTGTATAAATAAAGGTGTTAGAAGTTTTTAATTAAGCGTCTATCCAAAACTAGAAACAACACATGAAAATCTTTTGATTTGAATGGTCTTTGATTATATAATAAATAAAATATCTAGTCATTATATTGTGAACACCTGAAATGTTTGTATACTAATTTGAGATCCTAGGAGGATCAAAACATGTCTCATTTAAGTTTTATGGACAAATATTTGAGAATACTCAATTATTGAATATTTGACATGCATGATAACAATAAACTTGATGGTCTTGAAATACACATTGCAGAATCATGAATTTAGACAATTGCTTCCGCTTATCGTATACTTTCACCTAAACATATTGAGTTGTTGTTGAAGTGGAACAATTAATTGGTCCAGAAGACCATGTGCTATTCTTTTTCCTTAGCCAAGTTTTTGTCCCAAAGGGTTTTTCTTGGCCAAAGGTTTTAAGATATTTTGTGATTTTTAAAGAATCAGAAAGATTCATAACATCCAGAATATTATCCTCTAAAAGAGTGATTCTAATATTAGTTCGAAAGATAGTACCCTGAAGGTCTTAATTGATCCTTGTGAGATCGAACAATTTATTGGTCCGGAAGATCATTTGCAACTGTACTCTTTTTCCTTAACCAAGTTTTGTCCCATAGGATTTTCTTGGTCAAAGGTTTTAACGAGGCAGTTTGTGACTTTGAAATAACATATTATGATACATAAAATTCGGAGTATTATTTTTCTTCTATAAGAGTAAATTCAAATGCAATCCAGAAGATTATGCCCCGAAGGCCAGTGACTGTACTCTTTTCCTTTACTAAGTTTTTCCCACATGGTTTTCTTAGCTAAAGGTTTTTAATGAGACAGTCAATCCAACACATCGGTTTACATATATTATGTACTCTTATCCTTGATTGGTTTTTTCCCAAAGGGTTTTTCCAACAAGGTTTTTAATGAGGCATACACATAGTTCAATTTTTGCTACAAGGAGTTGATCATCAGATTATATTGGATTCTACAAGAAGTTTTGAAGTGATGCAGTCAACAGGGGGAGTATATACGCGGCTTACGCGCTGCACTCTTTTTCCCTTGACCAAGCTTTTGTCCCACTGGGTTTTCCTCGGCAAGGTTTTTAACGAGGCAGTATTACCATAGCGTATAGAGATAATAATGTAAATTTTTCTTGTAATGTATTTTATTTAGCAATGTACATCCAAGGGGGAGTGTTATGTAATATGTGGATGTCCATTAACCCCCAAGCCCATATGTTCTGGCCCATATCAAGTGTAACCCTAGCTCCCTTCTCCTTGTATATATAGATGGCTATATGTGAATGAATTATATGCTTTTCGGCCTTGTTTTACAACAACTGCCACTTTATAAATAAGTGTTTTAAAAGCCATTTCTATTAATGTGTTTGTGATTTTTAAAAAATATTTGTAATTATTTTTTATGTAAGGCACTTATATACTCCACCAAGCATAGTAATCACTAACCAGTTCAATGGCAATAACTAACTCCCTTCCGTCCTTATTAAACTTTACAGTTTGACTTCACACATATTAAGGAAATAAATTTGACTTTACTGTAGAGTACATTGTTTGGCACTGTTTGACACTGTTTGGTGTAGATTTGTTTGCCAAATAAGGCAAATAAGGAAGTATAAAGTTTAATATGGGACGACCCAAAAAGGAAATGTAAAGTTAATTAAGGACCGGAGGGAGTAAGTAGCAACGGCCTTCATGTATTTCATAAAAAGGAGGGCAGTGAGAAAATGGATGTAAGAGAACACTAACATTACTAAGAACTTTAAAAACAGAACACATAAAATTGGAGATCTTTTGTTCAAGAAATCAGATTTTTGTGTGCAAACGAATATAAGCATAATATATAATATAATATATTTTTTTGCAAAATTTGATCACTGTACATTTGGAAATAACTGAAGCAATTAATAAATACTCCCTATCTATTTATAAATCTCTTTGCCTTAAAAAATTGCAATATTCAATCCAACAAGTATTTTCTTGCAATTTTACTGGTTAGATCTCAACAATATTAAGTTCCTAAAATACCTGGTTTGCTCTCATAAATCTGGGTGTTTATGTTATCTTAATTGGTTTATGTTTTTATGTAGATAAATTTACCTAAATTTATTTACATAAAAACGTAAACCAATTAAGATAACATAAACCAAATAAGATAACATAAAAACATGCTCTTCCCTCCCCTCCCCTCCCCACTTTTTAAGCAGACATTCACATGCCCATAAAGCACGTCTGGTCAGGTTATAGACTTGTAGAGAGTAAGGGAAGTGGAATGTTTGTTTAATTGAGAGAAGTGAAAGAAAGTGGTTGTTTCCCTCATTTGGTAAAATGATATGGGTGGGGTGATAATTAAGGTCCTCCCGTTACCCAATTTCTTTAATAAAAAAAGCTTGTTGTGCACATCATTCACACACTTTGTCTATCTATACAGACAAAGTTGTTTGTATGCAGACAATTTTTGTATTTCCGATCAAGTTGTCTATACACAGACAATTTTATCTTTTTAGACAGACAAAATATGCGAATAGTGTACAAAAAAGTGTAGACAAACATTTTTTATTTTCTATCATATAATTTGAGGGTTTTGGAGGAAATCCAATTTTAACCACATCCACTCACTAACCTTGCAACAACATTACTTCAATGACGCGAAGACTCTTACCTCTGGAGATAAGGAAAGATGAATGTACGCAGTCTTATCGCTATACTAAAGCACATAAAGATGCTAACTGAATGACTCATGATGAAAACTAAATGGATTGACTGCTATGTAGTGAACTATTTTATTTTATTCCATCATATTTCCAAATAAAAAAATGGTGAGTATTTGACTTCATTAGAAATGATGAAACTCCTCACTAACCTTTCAAATGTCAACAAAAATACTTTCTCCCCCTTCTTGAGTACACTTAGACGAGGGTTCTTGCTTCTTAGGTCGTTGAATGTTCTCATACTTCCATCTTGAGGATGTGTTTGAAGGTATGTGTTTTTGGTTTTGATACAGACTTACAGGGGAGGGTAATGAATTTCTACTTCCTCAAACTGAACATCCTTAGTCTAGACAGACATGTGAGGGTAGGTAAGGCTAGGGTGAGGAGATCAAATTCCTTGATGGAGAGACAAATTTGTCCCTAGTCTTGCTATCTTCGTATACCTCCAAACCGGATATATGCTCCAAAGGAGGCCATTTTATTGGGATTGTATGGGGGTTAGGGTCTACATTTGTTGAAAGACACTTTGTTTTTTGTAAGAATTAGTCAAGAATCAAGGTACATTAGCCTGTGGTTAGGGTCAATTTTTCTTGTGTTCATTTTGTTGGTATTACTATAAATAAATAATATGGCAGAATGCGAAACTGCACGTCATAAACCTTTAGCTGCATAAACCAATACTTGGCTCCTAATGTCTAAATAGAGTTTTTTCAACCCAAGAACCAATTGTATAACTGATTTATTTGCTCACAAGTATACACCATCTTTATTATTCAATACCAGAGGCTTCAAATAAAATGTTCATTTCAGAAACAGATTGAAAATAAAGTCGTGGCAAGTGATAGGCTGTTATTCACAAGAACACTTGGCACAAGAACTTCTATGCTCGCTTGCTTCAATCATAATAGTTTGCTCTGGTGTACTTTTAATCTCATGTTTCTACTTGGGTTTGAAGTTGTTCCTGCGCAGAATAAAACCAAATTGAGACACCAAATTGAAATTAAAAGCAAATACCCAAGTACCACTATACCAACCCTACACATATATGCATCCTATAAGCCCCAATTGGATGAGAGCGTGCCAATGCTTACAAAGTATTCTTTTGCTTCATGCCAAAAATTTTTAGTGTTTTCAAACATGTGCTTCTCTGTATATTAGAATACTTTAAAACTAAAAGAGTACACAGAGGGTGCTTAAAAAATGATTTTGTTTATTCTACAACTTGACCTAAATAATACACTAAAGTTACGTAGTACGCACGGAGTAGTATTTTAAGGTTATGTTGGCAAACAATTAAAAAAAGTGATTTTTCACTTTTGCCTTGAAAAAAGCTGAAATGAATGTTTTCAAGTGACAACTTTTACTTAAATTAAACACTTATGCTAAAAGCTGGAAACTGCTTTTTACTACCAACTTTTACTTTTCAAAATCAATTTTTTCTCAAACACTATCAACTTTTACTATTAAGCACTTTCTCCAAAATCACTTTAAAAATCACTTTTTTAAAAGCAAAAGCAATCTCAAACACACCCTAAACCAAACCTCCAGCTTCTACTTGTCTAAAATCACTTCTATTTTTAAAAAATTCTATCTTTTACAATAAAGCGAACCCAAAAACCACATTACTGGTAAACAGGCTCATATAAAAAGTACAATGAGATAGACCTAGCGAATGGCTGGAGTACCACTCGAGACAATAATACTCATGTCATTGTTCTTTATGTTTAAGAAAATAGTTGATAGAACAGGTACCTCAGTAACAAAGAAGGCATGGAATCCATAAGGAACTCTTTTGGGCAATTCAACAACAGCAATAGGATCAGATGACATTGTTTTTGCATCAATAACCTCCACTGCTGATTTCCTGTACAACAAAATTATTGATGGATTTGATCATATGACCAAATCCTAGCATACTTATTTTATTCTACACAAGAGTCAAGGATGGTAAATACTCAGGCTCCAATTATTTCCAGTAAATTATTCTCATTGAAGGTGTTTTCTATATTTTTGTGTGTTTGGTAGCAGAAAAAATTTTCATCGATCTTTAAAGAGTTTTTGGAAAATGACTGAGTTTTTGGAAAATGACTTCTTTTGTGAAGCAACTTAATTATTTCTGAGTCCATTAAACATTATATTACACATTTAACTGTTTTTTCATGAAAACATTATTACACAAAGTTTTTCAAGGAAAATATTTCACGCTGACTTTTATCCCTACAATCAAACGAGGGTTCCATTCCCATTGGTTGCTGGAAATGAACTTGTGGAAAATGTTTTACATAGAAAATATTTCCTAGAAAATGTTCTCTAATGGAGAATAAGTTGTTCTATGCATATACTAGATGTGTGAGTGTGTATGACCCACAAATATAGAAAGCATAAAAAGTAGGAAAATGACATAAAGTTTTGAAAACAAATAACCACAATCCAGTCTACATCGACTTATTTTCCTGAAATCAAACAGCGCTAGAAGATTATCAGTGTTGATTTAAGAAGTTTATGTATGAAGTGAGCTGTAGAGGTACCCGGTGTTCTCATCGTGTACAAAGAATATCAAGTAGCCATCATCCTCTTCACATGTGCTACTTGTCTGGCGAGGAATGAAAATAGCCTCAGAACCAAATTTGGCAGGTCCTAGGTCAAAGATGCCTTGAACATTTCCTCCCACTTCAAGCTGTGTTTTTCCAGTCTGCGGTTCATCATGCAAATCAAATTTGATAATCCCTTTGACCTTTGCAATGTTGTTTAATATGGTCCCGTAAACATATCGTTGTTTCCTGAACATGCACAATGTCACAATTATTTTGCCAGTTTCTGATGTGCAGGTATAGGTTCAGGTAATGTTTTTAGAAAAGGGGCAATTAGACAATATCCCTTTAAGGACATTTTTTCCTTTCACACCCGTTACCTTAAACTTTCCATGAATCCAAGCTTGTACATAGAATTTGTTATTATGTCATAGGAGCTTTTTACATACTGATACCTAAACCCTAAAACCCAAACCCTATACCCTAAACCCCAAGCACTAATTTATAAGGAAGTGAGAATTGACCTATGAGAGTGAGTTCTCACCTCCCAGTGTAGTTCTCATTCACCCTTGGAAAATCAACAGAAGAATCAGACAGTTTCTTTTGTGAAGCTTGACAACTTTTCATGTTAAACCTCATTTCATATCTAACAAGCATGAAAGGAATAACTTTTCAGAATAACTTTTCAGTACATAGTCAGTTGTATATATAAATGATGCCACACAGGGGATGTCAGATCCTACAACTCATTTGCAAAATTCTCAAGATCATCTTTGACAGCTCCATTAACCATGTCTAAATCTAGATTTTCAATGCGGCATGTAATCAGAACAACTTCATCTCCCTCCTCCCATGCATTTGCTGAAATGGATTCAGAAAAGAATAGAGGGTCAGAATTTCAGTATGAAATGAAGAGAAGTTAATCACTACTTAAGATTCTGCATGGTTATGTCTAGTACATAATGCAAACCAGCATGGAGATGAAAAAGGATCTTTCAGTTCTAGATTTAATTACAATTAAGAAATTATGTGATAAAGACCAGAGCTCCCTTCAGAGGTTTCTGAAGGCAACTTCTCCGAACAATATGAATAACAAAAGCACATAGGCTTATTCCACATTCCCACCACAGCAAATGTATAATAAACAATTAGGAATTTAGGATTAACTCTTTTGTGTTTCAGTTGTTAAAAATTCCGACTGCTTGAATGGCATAAACCACTGAAATAACTGAATCAGAGATCTTTTTCCTCCCTTTTCTTCTCATTGCTTGTAGAATAGACTAGGCACTAAATGTTTTCTGCTACCTTTCTTTTGATTGAATAAATGAAAACAAAACTTTTGGATGCACTATGAAACGATGCAACTTGTGTATTTTTACTGTTCCTGTTGTGTGGGAAGGATGATCTACTGACCGGATTATGTACGTGTCTGGCAGATATATGTATCAGTAGTTCAGTACTATCTAGCTTTTTACTATTAAAAAGTCTCAAAAAGCTTGATGTATGTTTCATACAACACATTTTGGGATTTGTTTTTAAATTTTACATTTTCAGAACCTACTCTATGTAGCTTCTAAGAGAAAGTTTGTTACTTCAGCATTAGTTACAATTTCATATAGTTGCAACAACTTGTTATACCAAAAAGGATTGCATGAAACGATAAGCTCTTGTTAAGAAACTACAATATTACCTATTTAAGAACTTTTCCATTACTAAAAAGCTCCAAAAATATCTTTTTAGCTATTCGTGCCAAACATACACCATGCCTACTTACGGCTTTCGTATCTTAGGACAAATTACAATCTTCAATATTATATTGTTATTTAGAACAACATCCCTTTGAAACCTCAAACACATGCAAATATCATAAAATTTAACACTCACCATTGTGAAATATGAAGCAGTTAGGAAGCTCAAACCATTTGATTAACGTCTCATTCCTTGCATAGCGTGGCAGGATTCCAAAGCGTGCCTTTTTTGTTCTATCAAATTTGAATATGAACTCTTTGTTTTTAACCATTTCCTGAAAAGTAAAACTAAAGAATATTAGGATGAACTTTCAAGATTAATTTTATCATTTGCTGTAGATTTTGGACTAATGAAACAATATTTATATAGATGGTAACATGGTTACATCTATCTCATATGTGGTGAGTTTGCTAAGGATATGAATTGGCTATTATGACTTCAAGAAGTGTTATTAGCATGAAGTTAACAATTTAAAAGAAATGTGAACATGATAGGAATCATAGGATAGATACTAAAGCCAAACAGATTGTAGTATCATGATAAAGAGAATAGATGATTCAAATGTTAATAAACATTATATTCTACAGAAACGTGACATAAATCATCTAGATTCTATCTAGCGACTTCTTGTAATTTAATCACACAAGCAAAAGGAATTACACGATCTCTTGCAGCATACTATTCAAAGTATCTCACTGTGGAGATGTAAACCTTGTTTGGTAATCCTTATTTTCAGCTTATCAACCTTGACAACCAACATTTTTACCAAACATGAATTTTTTAATTTCCCACGCTAAATTGTTTAATAATCAAAATAAATAAGGTTGAAGTTACTTTTTTGGCTGAATTGGCTGGAGTTGGACAATTTTTGCAATTTTTCATATGATTTTTTCTTAATTTTATTAATAGAATATATTTTAAAAATAATTTCCTTACAAGTCAGCAGATTCATCCAATTCAGTCACTTCAGCCAGAATTTCATCTGTTTTAGCCAATTCAACCTATTTCAATGTTACCAAACGAGCTCATAACAACAATATTTTTACTTAAAAGGCGGATCTCATGTGCAATACTCTAATTAGAATATCACTAGTAAAGTTCAAGTTAGAAAAGCATTACACCTTTGGTCTGAAATATAAAGGGAGATCCATGAAAATCGCATAATTCTCAGTGATGGCAAAATCATGCATCATGACAGGTTCCGGTATTGTTATTGGGACTGGTTCATTCATTACTCCATCCTTTGATACAACTCTGTATGTGAGATAGGGTGCAGTGGTGGAATAGCCGAAGGTAAACATCTCTCCTGCATTGAACATTATCTAGTCAAAATGAGCAAATTCACATTATGTGAGGAAAAAATAACAATTACATGCTTGTTGGATAATGTGGCATTGCTGCAACTGACCATGAATCAATTCATGATGTCTTAACATTGAACATATATTGGGTCAAGTGTGTACAATGAAAGCACCTATTTGAGGTACTGAGAATATAGCCAACCAAACAATGTTGTTCCAGCAATGATAGATTTCAGGAGAGGTTAAACTATGTTAAGCCAAGAGGAAGCAGGATGTTGGCTGGTGTCTAAATGAGAGAAAATTAACGTGCCTCATAAGACAGAAAATGACACCAGAAAAGTTCTAGGGTGACGACTCACAGATGCTTTAATTAAAGGGAGTGTGTGATGACTGATGAGATTAACCCATTGATGCTTTTATTAAGAACATAGATTTGTATGATTCAATGTCCTTTTATTGGAAATATATATATATATAGATATATATATATATATATAGATAGATATCACTATTACCCGTTATTGGGTCAATCTTAGGATGAGCAGTAAAGGGATGTGACAATCTCTCATCATAATCCAGCATGCCAAGAGTTTGTAGATCTCCATCCTCCAAAACCTTAACGACGTCTGGACAGGGTATCACAACAAAAACATTTCAATATTATACTTGTAAGAACATAAGTGCAACTACAAACTAAAAAAATAACCCAAAACCATGCTCTGACGGGGCTCCAGAATTATAAATTATTACCGCAAGACAAACTACAGAAAGTACAAGAAATTGAGTCGGATGGTGTATAGCACATGGTTCATCAAATAGGTACATTGAAAATAAGAAAGGGTTCAAATGATAGGTGTATTATGTGTGAGATATTAAAATGGAATGGAAACAATAGAGATCTGCCATACATGGTTTGTCGCCCTCTGAAAGTGCCAAAAGCTTCCTGTGGTGATAAATTAGAGCTGTATTGGCTGGAAGAAGACAATCGTATTTACACTTCGTAATTCTCGCTTAGAGATATCCCATTTAGATGAAAAATTGCCATGACACACCGAGAAGAGGAGCCATGTTGCTACTAGTAACAATCCATGAGTTCACCTACCTGTGCCAGTTCCATAGGAAACATCTAATACTTTCAGCTTTGCTCTTAGCATTTGCATGTAAACCATAACCAGTCCAAAGAAGCCCTTGAGATCTCCAATCTGCAAATTATCAAACAACATTATGCATGTATACTAATGATCTCATCAGGGCTACCTGAAAGGATTCTGTCAGGAGAAAAAATCATTCAGACACTTATATCACTTCAATGTTTCACATTTCTTCTGCACACTAGAACCCCATTAGTTTTTCAACCCGACCCAACTGCAAGGATTCAGAGACTTTCGATTCTCTCAGCTACCCAAGTGAGTAGTGTTATAAGATGATCACTCCAAAATTTTAGAGTTTTTCACATCTAAATTAGCATAAATTGAACAAATTGGCAACTTTTGGACTCGGGAAACAGATTTTGGGGACCCATGAGTGAAAAAAGTTGCACCGTGAAGTGATCTAAGTGTCGCAATGGATTTTGGCCAGACAGAATCCTGAATGTCTCTCCATCATGACTTTATGATTCCTCTCTATCTGTATTTCTATACACACACATAAATAGATAGACTTCATATAGCAGGTAAACATTTAGTAGGTGACTATTTCTATGAGGCCATTTTATAGCTTTGGGTTCCAATCAACTATTCAATTTACAGAGTTACTAGAAGATTGAATTTTAGGTCAATATACACCAAAGTATAGGGCAGTGCGGTGCATATTGGCATCCCTGCAAGGAGACAAGGAGAGGGTCTGAGGAAGGATCCCACAAGGGTGTATAGAGGGTGAGCCTTCCCTTGGCAATATACACCAAATAAAAAAAAAAGAATCATGTCTCACCATGTACAATTTTTTAAAGTTCAACTATTGGAATTCATTAACCATTGCTGCATTTTTAATTTATTTATTCGTTTAACTAAATATAACATACGGAGTATTAAATTGTTTAAGGCACTTTTAATGAAATAATAGATTAAATTTAACGAATGCTAGCTTCTTATTTTTGAAAAAGGACTCTTTTTGAGGACAAAAATAAGTTTCAAAGTGGATGATCTCAATTCAAATCACACCTTCATAAACTTAGCTCCTCCAAAAAACTGTTCTTGCTTCAGACGTGATGTCTTCACAAAACGAGAGACATATGTTGCTTTTCCATCTTTGATGCGCAAGCCATGAATCATTCTGCACAAAAAGGACAGTGATTGCAGATCATACAACAACATCCAAGCCTTAGTCCCAAAAGATATTGGGGTCGGCTAACATGAATCGATACATGATATCACAACCAAAAGGAAAAGAAGGAAAAAAGATAAAAAGATAAGCTATTATGAAAAGATAATATAAAAAATATTAGTTTAAATTAAATAATAAAAAATAAAATGTGCTTAGAGGGAGAAGTGAAGACATAGAAATCAACACACCCATCTCCATCAAACCTGCAAATAAGAAAAACGAGAATAAGATTGTGACCTAATATTACGACATTGGTGCTTTACTGTTCATAAAAAGTAGCCAATGCCACAGCTTAGAAAATATTTGCCAATACTCAAATGTATGCTAGAGAGAGGGGCAAGAATGTTAGACAACTCTTTATAGGAAAAGAAAATGGGACCATAGATATTGAAAGACCCAGTTGGGATAACCGTGGTCACAAAATAACATACCAATGGTAGCCAGCCACCGGAGTGAAGTTTGGATTGGGACCAACTCTGACAAACTCACCATTGAGGCATTCCTGCAAAACAAAAACTATTACATAATCCGTATTATTCATAATTTGGGAAGCACAGCTACACGTGTCACAGATGCTTTACCGCAGCATCTGAACTCATCAGTCATCACCTATGTAGCACGGAAACTCTTGGGAAGGAATACGTTTCCTTCCTCTTGGGAAACTCTTGGAAACTCTCCAAACAAGCCTTTTTTGGGCAACATTTGACGTTTCCCGTTTCCCGTTTCCTCATGACTTTCACGTTTCCGTGCAACATAGGTCATCACGTGTCACAGATGCTTCATACATAGGGCACTTTATGAACATATCACTAAGAAAAGCATTCTAACACTTTATGAAGCCATGAACTGAGAAAGAAGGTAGCAAATCAAATTTCCATGCACATTCAAACTTAAAAGGTACTGTTGTTTAACAGTTTCCTCTGTAACAAGTTAGATCGTGATTGAAACTGGCTATAGTCTTACCGCAACATCAGGTTATTAACACTAGAATCATTTGGCCGAAATGTTCTACTCATATGAATCATATGGAGTATTAGTTTGCAACAAAAAATATTGACAATCTGTACTACTTAGTATATGCTCCCACTTGTCCATAAAGGTTTTACAATTTTACTATTCACGTGGTCAATGTAACTTCTTTATTCTTCTTCAGTGTAATTCCTAAACATGTAAATTCCAGAATCATTCAAACGTGTAAACTGAAAGTGGCAAACCAATTTGGGACGGGTGGTATTATATCACATAAAGGACTAAGGCAGTGCCTCTTTGGTGGTATGGAACCAACTTGATAAGCCATATAAAAGAACAGATCAATACTACCCAGTTCTTACAGTCAGTTTTTAAAATCATATCACGTGGATAAAAATTTGAGCTTTGATGTCAATTTTTCACTTCCAAGCTCGTTCACAAGAATTCTTGAATTAAAAATGAACTCATTCAATTTGATAAGTTCTAATCTCTCAAGGTACACGGTGACAGAAACAAAAATGCACTAATCTCTAACTTACAGGAAGCTGGCCGATGACCGGAAGGTCTTTACAAGGAGCAGTTTCTTCCGGAGCAGGAGCGAAATTGCCAGAAAGATAGTGAAGCGGTTTTGAAGAATCGTGCATCATCTTAACCATCATCCATTCCAACCAATCTATAGCACTGGAGATCATGCTACCTTGCGGCTTTGGGTTCACTACCACCATTCCTCCAGCCTTTCGCTCCACTGCACCATCATCTTCCTTCCTTCCCATTTTCTTTCTCTCCCTCTCCCAGCTCCAAACTGTGAAGATAAAATGTGTGCCGGGGATATATAGAGTAATATGATGGTGTGGATGTCGTTTAGGGACCACGTGTCACTCAGATCTTCCGCGAACATTATTTCTTATTTTTCCTGAACTTTTTTGTTTTAAATAATCAATTTATTTATTTTTGTCGTATTCATGAAAAGTAAAAAAGAAGAAGAGAGAAATAGTCCCAAATATGATTAAAACATTATAAAAATACATCAACAAATATGAGTTTAAATTTTAACTTCTTTAGAGAAGAACTATCGAAGCGTTCGAACTTTCATAAAAAGTGCAAATAAGCTCTTTTATAGAAGGTTTTGTCCGGTTGTCGCCATTTGAGGCGGTTTATGATGAAATTTTTGGATGAATTTTTTTTAGCATCTTCTTCATTAAGTCTACTTTATTCATACCAAATTTCAGCTAAAAATTCAATCGAGAAGACAGTCAAATGATTTTCTGAAATATACTGTGCTGCCTAACTGCGCAGTTATCTTCAAAAATTCATTTGACTGCCTTCCTGATTGAATGTTTATCTGAAATTTGGTATGAGTAAACTAGACTTAATTAATAAGATATTCAAAAAAATTCATCAAATAGTTCCACCGAAAACCGTCCCAAATGGCAACGGCCGGACAGAACCTCTTATAAAAGGGCTTATTTGCACTTTTTATGAAAGTTCTAGGGCTTATTTGATAATTCTCCCAATTCTTTAAATAGGACTTCCTATTACCCTTATGCACTTATTATTTCGTTTAATAATTCTCTATTTTTTCGTTTTTTAGAGAATATTTTAGATCTTTGATTTTTATTTTGTATTAATTTCGATCATTGTTTGTGAAAATATCAAATTTCTCTTTTGCTCAACATTGTTTATTCTTAAAGTGCCACTTTTCTAAGTTTCTTTATACGAAATTTATTTATATATAATACCATTTGTATAAATGACACTACTTTTATCAAGATGACATGTTCTTGAATCTGAAATATCATATTGACAAATAATGTCATTTCCATGGTACTAACTTTTATCAAAATGACAATATCACTTTTGATTTAATAATTTTTCTCTTTCAATATGGCATTCATATTTATGTGATAATGCCACAATTCAAATGAAAATACTATTTTCATTCAACATAGACAGTCATATTTATGCATCTTGAAGTGCCAAAATTCTTTACACTAAAATCATTTTAGTATGGCACTACGTGTCATTTTATTTAGGCGACGACAATATTGAATTTAGTGTAATTAGTTTTATACCTCATATTTTATTGTTAGAATGAATATGTAATGCTTTTTATTGTATTTGGATTTTAGCGGGCTTCGATAGTTGAATCGCTAGAGGAAGCGCATGAGACTGAAGTCAAGCCAAAGGAGATTGATGGTGAAAGCCGGAGATATGGCATCGTCGCTGGCCGCGCCAGAGGACACGACCGCGATCACGATCGCGTCGGGGGATATAGCGGCGACGACGGTAGTGCTGTGTCAATGGCCTTCACGTATGGTGGGATGTCGATTAAGACATCTCGAGAGTTTTTTAGTTTAATGTTTATATTTTGTTAAAATCAAACCTTAAGTGTTTCTTTAAGGGCAATTCAATCAAGTCAATCCTTTTTTGCTCATACCAAACGTTCACCTGCTATTGTTTCACTATTCCATTGTTTTACTTCTATTTAAGGAATTGGCCCTAAAAAAACTAGTTACATTTTTGTCGAATACTCCATAGATTCTAAAGGTGATATTTATCTCATTGTTTCTAACCTTCTATTTTTTTAAAGATTTCAGCTTGAAGATAACCCATGATTGTGAAGATTAAGGAATTTCACTATTAACGACAATTAACACTTTAAAGACACTAACCAAATATATAAAGGTTGACCTTCATGTCCTTGTATGAATGGATAACAACAATCTTGATTTCGCACAGCTCTTATATCGTACACCCGGGTGTATATGCATGTACACCCGATCTTTTTGTAATTGTTTGCAAAATGATGGTGATCAATTATATGAAGTGGAGTGTTTGCTTCCTTTTATTCTCTCCCACGTTTCTTCCAATTTGTGGTCACTTTGCAATGTTTTTATTTTACATTTTTTTCATCTCCACTTTCAATTCATTTTCAGCTCCTTCTCGTTTTTGCTTGTTCTTCTTTCTGTTGCTTCTTTTTTTTCCGTTTTTCATTTCTTTTGATTTTGAATTTTAGTTTATCTAACTTTAACTTTCCTTTTTCTTTTGTTCTGCTTCGTTGCAAATGAATTGAAAATGAAATGAAAAAACGAGAGTGCAAACTGTTCTATTTTGCAGGACAGGAGACTACTTATGTGTTGCTAGTTTGGACTATGATTCTCCTCAGCAGATTCCAAGATTGGCAAACGCGAGCTAGAGATGAGGTTCTGCACGTTTTTGGCCAGGACTAGCAATTCACTTTCAATTCATTTTCAGCTCCTTCTCGTTTTTCATTTCTTTAATAACATCAGAACCAACAATAGACCAGCATTTTTTAAAGAAATTATCTTTAAAGCCATCAGGTCCAGGAGCACCCTTAGAGTTTACGTTCCAAACTGCTTCCTTAATTTCTTCCTCTTCAGGCAACTTAACAAGACTCCTATTATCATCCTCCGTTAAAATGTTTGGGATGAATTGCAGGATCTGGGGAGAATCAGTATCAACATCAACAGAATAAAGGTTTTGGAAAAAATGCACAGCTGCATCACCTATCTCAGAGGGAGAGGAAACCATGTCACCATTAGAGTTCTGAATACTAGTAATGCTTTGCATTTTGTTCCTAATTTTAACAAAGGAGTGAAAAAACTGAGTATTAGCACCTCCATCTTTGATCCATTTAATCTTTGCTTTCTGCTTCCGATACTTTCTTTCAAGTTTGTACTTTGAAAGTAGCAAAGCTCTAGATTGGGACCACTTCTCTTTATTTTCTGGGGAGGGGTTCTCTTCAAAGGCGTTTTCATTATTCAGGACTTCATTTTCACAACATTTGATGTCTTCAAATATATTCCCAAAAGTAGATAAATTCCAGCTCCTAAGATCCTTTTTAAGCTGCTGTAATTTAAGCATCAGTCCACGCATCCCTCCTCCTGTGTGAATAGAGAGGACCAGGATTTTTTTACCACATCCATAAAAGTACAATGGGACAACCACATATTTTGGAATCTGAAGGTCTTGGGAACAGATAATGTGTTAGAAAAGCACTGGACTAGTATAGGTGCATGATCTGAGGGGGCACTATTTAAATGAGAGATCAGAATTGTATCAAAAAATCAGTGCACTTATCATTAACTAAGCACCTATCTAATCTCCTCCATAATATTCCATTTGATCTAACACCAGTCCATGTATACTTGTAGTCTGAGTAAGGAAGATCAATAAGATTACACAAGGAGATGCAGTTTGAAAATTCCTGTAAACTGGTAAGTATAGGAGTCCCCCTTCCCAGATGTTCATGGAAACTGGCAATAGTATTAAAATCCCCCCACCAACCATGGCTCATTGATGGTTCTAGAAAAATCCTACAGAGCCATCCAAAGCCTCCTTCTTTCAATATACATGTGATTACCATACACCGCAGTAAACCATCCAGAAAAACTGTCTTTCTTGACCTTGAAATGAACAAATTGATCATTCCAGGAAAAATCAGACAAATCCACTAAGTTAGAATCCCAGTAGATCCAAATTTTATTGATGTCAGCAGTTGCAACTTTATTTAGGCCTATCTGTGATTTGTAATAATCTGCCTTTGACCTATCCACTATTGGCTCAATAATAATGACAACAGTAACTCTCCATTGTTTTATAAGGGAATTAAGTCTAAAATTGGAGGCTTCTAGACCCCTTACAATCCATATGAGCCAATTCATTAGGATGTAGGAAGGGAAGTCTGTGAGAACCCTTGGTTATCCCTCCTCTTAGCTGCATTCCTGTTAGTGATAGTAGATTTTTCAGGCTCCTTCTTCCTTCTTGATCTTCTGTGAGTAACCAATGTAAACGCACCTTGCACATCAGATGTAGGATCTAAAAAATAAATCTGCCCCTCTTCCTGCATTGCTTCCTTCTCCTCCATATGTATCTTCATTTTATCAATTATTTTCCTGATTTCAGGCCTACCTTCCTGCCAGGCATCAGGGTGAACCTTTGGAGAAGTTTAACTATCTGAATGATATGCCTTAGCCAGAAGGTCAAGATCAATCTCAAGATAATGGTGAAGCTCTTTAACCTTTGAGTCATCCTGGATTACTGACATATTTTTTGCAGGTACCAAGGACATATCACATAGTTCAGCAGCCACAGCCTTTCTCAAAGCCTGATGACAGTCCTCCTTTTCAGTTGTTAGCTCCATTTCAGGGACTTGTGTTGCAGTCTCCATAATAATTTCCTCTACTTCAGAAACATCATCCTCTTTGTTTTGAGATTGATGCTTAGAAGTAGTGGCCACATCTGTAATAGCAAGAGTAGGATTAAACATTTTGTCCTTCCCCTTTTCTTCTCTTGTAAGCTTTATCCCCTTTGTATTATTGGTAGCTTTAGGCTGCCAAATATCTTTAACATTCGCCTCCCCCAGACTATAGTCAACTGCCCTTTTAGGACACCTCAAATTTGAGTGTCCCAAATGTAGGCACTTCGTACAGTATTCCGGCCTATTCTCATATATAATAGGCTGCATAAAACCAAAAGCTCCAGACTGAATCCAAATCTTATTTGGCATCTCCTTTGTCAAATCCAACTCCACTAAAATCCTAGCCAAAGTAGGTCTTGATAGACATACAGTTGCTGCATCAATTTTCATAGGTTTCTCAACTAGACTGGCTATGTCAAACATAGCCCTTTGATCCTGCAAATGGATGGGTAAATCTTCAAACCCGAGCCATACCGGAACCACCGGGGATTCCACGTTTGGTCTAAACTCCAGAGTCCATTTCGTAACACGCATAGTACATCCGTTTACAACCCAAGTTTGCCTATTCCAACACCTCAAATTATCATCCTCCAATTCAAACCTAATAAGAACATGTTTTTTATTCAATAAGCTCAATTCGAATTTCCCTTTAAAACCAATGATTTCAAAGGATTTGCGCAAATTGCTCATACTCGGTCTCATCTTGAAAAAATAACCAACCAGTGCCCTCTTGTGTGTCTCTGCCAATTCCTGGACATCACTCTCTGAGAATGTGATCGCCGGAACACCTTTGTAGCGAGTAGGAATTTTCTTTGATAGAGCATTCCCAGATTGATTAGCCACCACAACGGCAAAAGATCTTCCTGTCCATGATGATCCAGGAGGTTTAGGCGGCTGAGCCGCCGGAACCCTAGCCACATCCGTCATCACAGCTCTCCTCCAACTTACGTCTCAAGATGAATGTTCAATTGATATTGGTGTAATGCTCATTTTAAAATAGCATATCCATGCATATTGGTGTCATTCTCACTTTAAATTTTTTTAATGTTCATTTCATAAGTTTTTAATGTTCACTTTAAATAACTAATACATGCCAAAAAAATCACTGGCATTTTTGCAATTTAAGCGAAAAATCACGGTTTCCGCTAAATGAGCAATAATGTACTTTTAATGAGCATCTGACCTATTGTATTGAGTATTAAAGAGGCTAACAATGAGTTTCACGATCCCTGCTTCATATCTTCTAATTCTTTTTTCTTTTTCTTATTTTTTCTTTTATAAAAACTTATTAAATTATATCTATATATAATACACTCCTATTAATTTCAATATGCGAGTATAATGTCATATGATACTTTTGAAATATACATTGATACAACATTTTAAAAATGAGCATAACATCAGTACCAAATGAGCATATGTAACTTACAAAATGCACATTGATATGAAAATCGTAAAGTTTGTTAGCTGAACATCACGACATTTTCATTAAGCATCAAACCTCATATATCGAGATGAAAATCAGAGTTGAGTATTAATGAGTCTAATATTGAGCATTGTAATTTCTGCTTCATAACTTCTGATTCACTTTCTTTTTCCTATTTTTTCTTTTATAAAAATTTGTTAATTATATCTATAATCAACTCCTATGGATTCCAATATATTAATCTAATTTAATGAACTTTTGAAATATGCATTCAGATGAAAATCGTAGGCTTTGCTCGTTGAGTATAAAAACATTTTCATTGATCATAAAGTCTCCTCTATTGAACATTGAGTATATACAAATTTAAAATGAGCATTACACAAATATGCATAGATATGACATTTTAAAATGTTTGGTGTACTGCTCATTTTAAAGTGAGCATTACACCAATTTCAAATGAGCATAGATAACTTATCAAATGAGCATAAAAAATTAAAAAACTCATTTAAAATCTCTAGTTTGCTCAAATATCAATTTATGTATGCTTGTATCATTATAACATAGAGAAGCATCAATTCCTTATTTTAGACCAGCAATTTTATTGTGCTTATTTTTTAAAATTATATCAATGCACATTTAAATTAAATGTATTTATAATTATTTAGAAGGTTTGAGCTTTTAATAGAAGAGTGAGAGAAGTATATGTTTTTATTGAATTGCTATTCAATATGAATTTTTGAAAGAATTGCATGAAAAACATATTGTAGAAAAAATACATAAAAATAAAAAAGTAAGAGTTCAAAATTAGAGAACCAGACAAAAAGTATATACAAAAAAGAAAAAAGAAAAAAATGAAGTAGAAAAAAGAAAAAGAAATATTAAAGTTAGAATTGTTCAAAACTAAAGGAAAAGAAAACAGAAAAACCAAAGCATAAAAAAGAAAAAGAAAAGTTAAACCTAGAAAACTTAAAGTTCAGAATTAAAGAAAAGAAAAAAGAAATACCAGAACTATAAAAAAGTAAAAAGAAAAAACGAGAAGCAAGGCTTAAGCTACAATCAAATGAGAAGTGAATAAGGAAAAGTGTAAACTAATAAGAAAAGAAAAAAGAACAAACGGATGAGCATCAATGGAAGACAAAGAAAAATACTTGGAAGAGTAGCAAATGCTATGCTTCATAATTAATAACCTCAGATTTACAAATAATTACAAAAATATCTGGATGTACCAAATCATAAGGTACATCTGAATGTATGATATATTTTGCCGATTTCGCATGCGTATTCAGGATGTTTTTACTTGGACTGTAATTTGCTGGTCTGGTCTGGTCTGGTATGGTATGGTCTAGTCTGGTCTGGTCTGAAATTTCATTTTTTATATTTTTTGCATAAAGATTTTACTTTTTATATATAGAGAAAAGGGTCAAATAAGGTCTTCTACTATTATGAAATAGTCACAAAGGTCATGTACTCAATAAAGTGTCATATAAGTACATCTACTTCTAAAAAGCAATCGAATGAGTCCTAATGACATATTTAACATTTCTTAATCCCGGTTTCAACGTACTTCTGACAATCTTTTTGAAATATATTATACGGCATATGTCGAATATTTAACTAAGATTGGTTGAAATACAAGTCAAAAAAATCGACATGTAAGCTAAAATCGGGATTATGAGGTGTTAAATAAGCCGTTAGGACTCATTTGATTTCTTTATACAAGTAGAGGTACTTATTTGACACTTTATTGAGTACATGGCCTTATGTGACTATTTCGTAATAGTAGAAGGCCTTATTTGACCCTTTTCTCATATATATATTATAATCCATAAATAATTATATTTTATTCATTTATAATTAAAAATAATAATAGTAATAATAGTAATAATACTAATAATACTAATAATAATAACAATAACAATGATGATGACGACGACGACGACGATGATGATGATGATGATGATGATGATGATGATGATAATAATTAAATATGGTCTGGTCTAGTCTGGTCTGAAATTTTATTTTTTATATTTTTTGCATAAAGATTTTATTTTTTATATATATTACAATCCATAAATAATTATATTTTATTCATTTATAATTAAAAATAATAATAGTAATAATAGTAATAATAGTAATAATAGTAATCATACTAATAATACGAATAATAATAACAATAACAATGATAATTGTTGGTAGAAAATAACCCGGGTAGAGAATTTGGCAACATTTCAGTATAGTGAGAATAGCTTACCCGAATACAAAAGGTTGGTGGCCTATTTATAGGCGTATACAACAGGCCCACCAATTAGAAGTTACATGGGTTTGGCCTGATTTATAACCTAATACTAACGTTAATGGGCTAGTCAACCCGATAAGTAATTCGATAATCCCGGACCAGTATCTGCTAGTCGGACTATGTTCTGAGCTTGGTCAGGCCAAAGCTCAGGTGTACGTAACGGGCCAATATTCTTGGACCCGGTCCATTATCCCAACACGAGTCCCCCACTCCCTTAGTCGAGTAGTAGACTCGGCTAAGAGGGAGTAGTTAAGCTATTTTGGAATTGGTCTGGTCATTAACGAGCCTTGAATTTGATCTGGTTGCTTGTGAAAGGATGAAGTCTTCCTTGTTCTGACCGGGAGACCTCTTCCTTTGTACGTTCACGATGACGAGGTGCCTCGTTAAAACCTTACTAGGAAAAAACCCCAGTGGGAAAAAATCCCAGTGAAGGAAAAAGAGTACACCGGAGCCTTAAAATAAAGCAAAGGAAGGTCAATCCCCTCGGTTCTTGATTGAGTGCCTCCTTTACTGGTAGGCTGAGATATGTTCTGAAAAGACCACTCGTACGGTTGTTTGCCAGTGGTGTCGGTCGAGCGAAGGTATGCTTGGATAAGGCGGGTCGCAGTTGTACGCTGAGGATGGCGATCCGAGGTATCCTCGGGAGATGCTGTCCACCCAACTGTCCGGTGATGATGGACAACCGAGCTATGTCTGGAAAGGTCGGATGCAATACTGTCCACATTGATCCCCATTGCTTTCAAAAGGATAGGATTTCCTTCATCTGGGTAGCAGCCCGAGGTCTTGCTTATCCTATTAGGAGCCCGAGGTCTTGTTTGTCCGATTAGCAGCCCGATGTCTTGTTTATCCTACTAGCAGCCTAGGGTCTTGTTAAACCGGTTAGCAGCTCGGGTCTTGTTTGTCCAATTAGCAGCCCGAGGTCTTGTTCAAAATCAAGCAAAAGGGTGAGCTCTCCTGTCACTGCATGCAGTTGTAACGATCGCCATCTGCTGAGGGGATGACAAAGGCCTGTCTTGGGTTGCGGGTAGCTCGTCATGATGAGTAGTCCTAGTCATCAAATAAAGATAACTAAAGGAATGAGTCGAGCGATCGTCCATAATATGATGTCTGGTTCATCAAATAAAGATGACCAGAATATAAGGCCGATGGGCCGATATGAGTTCCACGTCATAAAATAAAGATGACAGGGCAATATTTGGCCGATGGGCCTATATGAAAGCTCCACATAATCAAATAAAGACGACGGGGCGATGTATGGCCGATGGGCCCGTAGATGAGCATCTCGTCATCAAATAAAGATGACAGAGCGATATATGGCCGATGGGCCCGTACATGAACTTCGGGCTCCTTTGACTATTC